GTGGCTTTTCTAAATCGGTTGTTGCAGAAACCGATGTAAAACTTTTTAACATAGGTTAAAACTGATGTGTTATATACCTGATAACCACCGTATCAATGAATTTTCCAAAGGTGACAACTACGGTACCCATTTAAAAAATGGGGTACCGTACGTACCTATCATGCATTTGATTGGTCCAAATGATTAAATTCCTTTTAATTTAGATTTAAATAATTCAATTGCATAATTCTGATTGGTCCATGTAGACAAAGGTACGGTACCTTATAGGTACCATAGAATCTACCTTTTCCAAATCGGTTTTTATAGGAACCGATGCAAAGAAGTTTTAACCGATGTGGAATGTGTCCACATTTCACATGGGTTGGATCTACATTGGTTGTAGAACCGATGTGAAATCCCTATTTTAACCGATGTAAAAAGCTTTTTTTGTGCTAGTGGTCCTTGTACAGCTCACGGAGTTTACCTCTTCAAATAGCTCCAGGCCTTTACGAGATCAGTGATAATTCTGCCCTTTCTGTACGGGTAGACACCTTGACAAGCATGATGCAAAAGCTTATGACCAGCGTGGATGATCTAGGGAAGGTAGAAACTACTCACTCGGTGCCTAGCGTGAACATGGTGGCCTCTGGACCTACTAGTTCATCTTGTTGTACGTGTGGGGGCCTCCATTGACCGCATGAATGAATATGATGGCTCACACCTCGACAACCCCTGGAGTGGAGCAAGTGGAAGCAATGAACTTTCATAGACAGAGCTATTACAATCAGCCCTATAACCAGCAGCAGTACGTGAATTACGGGCATGGAAATCAGCAACAGCATAGGAATTACAATCAACCCCAAGCACCTCAGGCCCCACAACAAGCACTTCAGCAAGGTCAAGGGAGTCACGAGAAGGGGACCGAACAAAGACTTTCTAGCTTGGAAGATTAACTCCAGAAATTCATGCAAACTACTAATGCAAGTCTTCAGAACATGCAAACTCAAATAGGTCAGCTCGCAAACACCGTATCTGAGAGGCCTATGGGATCGCTCCCCAGTAACACTGAACCAAATCCAGGAGGACAAGTTCACGCTATCACGCTAAGAAGTGGAAGCGATCTTGAACCTGTTGCCATGGAAAACAAGCCTGCGGAAGTTGAACCTGCTGAAGTTGTCCATGAGAAGGAGAAGGAAGAAGAGAAGAAGAAAGAGGTGGAGGCAGCCCCAATTCAACCCATTCCAGTTAAAGCTTACAGCCCACCCCTCCCATTCCCGTTTAAAGGGAAAGTGTGACACCGAAGACCTCAATAAGTTTATGAACCTCTTTAAACAGATTCAGATTAACTTACCATTCATGGATGCGCTACAACAAATGCCAAGGTATGCAAAGTTTATGAAATAACTCCTCTCAAACAAAAGTAAATGGGGAGAATCGAAGTCAGTGATCCTTAACGAGGAGTGTTTAGTGGTAGTGTTAAAGGAGATGCCCAAAAAGCTCAAGGACCCAAGTAAGTTCAATATCCTTTGCTCCATAGGAATTTGATTTTTGATAATGCCTTAGCTGATTTGGGTGCAAGCATTAATTTGATGCCTTATTCCTTATATGAGAAGCTTGCACTTGGTCCACTTAAACCCCGCATACAATAATTGGCTGACCGATCAGTCAAATATCCCCAGAGGATTGCTGAAGACATGTTGGTTAAAGTGGACAAATTTTTTATTCCGGTTAATTTTGTTATCTTAGATATTACCCAAGATCTTGATGTGCCCTTAACTCTTGGAAGGCCTTTACTGGCCACTGTTCGGTCCCTCATAAATTTTGGGGAAGGGAAACTAATTTTGAAAGTTGGGGAGGAGAAAGTCACTTTTTGCCTGGTCAAATTGGCAAAATCATCTTGTCAATCCGTAAATTAGTGCTATTTTCTAGATGCCATGAAACCATGTGGAGAAGGGGGAGGGAAATCTCCACCTCTTAAAGAGACCTTTTTTGACCCATTCTTTGATCAAGGGCCAAATAAAGACCTAGACCCATTCTTTTGTTTTACGTGTGACCCTGAGATGCGCAATTGTTTTCATGAGTTTGAGGTTTTGCGCCATCTTAGGGCAATTGTTGATAGGAGATTTGATATGTGGAGGATGCGTTTTCTGAGTGCTAGTGTTTTTAATTGATGTTTTGATGGGGAGTAGTTGCGTCGAGCCCATGACGTTAAAAATAACGCTTCTCGGGAGGCAACCTGAGCTTATTTTGCATTTTAGTTTTAGTTTGTGTGTTTGTTTTCCAAAAAATCAGAAAGTACAAAAAAATTGGATTTTTTGGGGTTTCATGCGCCCCACGGTTCAGAAGAGTGGAAAAACAGGCCTTAGAACGTCCTGCACGGTTGGACCGTGCAGGTACCGCACGCCATGCGGTTCAGTTTTTTTCAAAATTGCGCTGCAGATCAACCCGCACGGTTGAACTGTGCGGGTTACTACTTTTTGCTATTTTGTGTTGTTTTGCCTTGTTTTGTGTGTGCAGCCTGATCCTGAGCGCATGTGATGATTTGCTGATGGATTTGCAGGTTCAATTGAAGTTCAAGACCAACCAAAGACCTAGGGGAGTTTCTACTTTCCTTGCTCGTTATTTTCCGTTGTCTTGAGCTAGTAAACACGCGTGACCCTTTCCTCTTTACCCCCTGTGCATAGTGCATTTTTGGTCATCGAGGGCGATACCAAAGTTTAAGTGTGGGGGAGTGAATTGGGCTTTCAGGCATTAGTTAGCACGTGAGATTAAATGTGTCAGCATGTGTAGGTGTTAGTTGTATATTTGTGAGGAAGTTATGTCAAATTTTTTGTAAATTTTTTCTTTAAACTGTATCTTTGTAAGCTGTCTAGATTGTGATTTTAGAATGTCCTTGAGGTTTTTAGGCTTAAAGTGCTTGTATAGTTAGTCTAGTTGTTGAGAGGACGAAGGCATTAGTTACCCACATTCTATTCATGATTTTCCATTCCACCTTTATAAGCCCTTTAGGATAAGCCATTTTGAGCTTGACCTGTGTGTTCTTTACCCATTAATTGAGCTCCATAGCCAAATGGTCTGTTTCTCACCGTGAATAATTCTGACAGTTTCTTGTTGTCTAGGTTGCTAGGGGATTAATTTGCTAAGTTAAGGGAATTTTGATAGGAGCCATTGTTGGCACTGTTCCTATGCCCCAAATGGGGTAAGAGCTGTCACTTTTTAGGAAGTTGATATTTTTTAGGATTGCATTGTAGGCATGGATTCACCCTTTTAAATGAACTTTAATTGCTAATTTTCTTTGGTGAGGCCGAGATTAGAATGGGTAATGTCTAGTGAAAATCTGAAAAAATCGAAAAAATTTAATATAGTTAGACCTCTTACCTTGTGAAAAAGAGAATGAGAGACCCGGTCAAAAAACGTAAGTGTTTTGCACAATAAGATGAGACTCGGAGATCTTTCGAAAGAAATGGAGTTCTCATGCCAACATGACAAGGAAAACTAAACTCTAATAAATTGGACTTGAAGGCTTTTGCAAAAATTCAGCATTAGTCCTTCACGTATTTCAATTATACGTCAAAGCACCAATGCGCAGAGTCGGTTTAACTTAGTTGTACACTGTGTCTACTCCTTGCATAGTGATAGATGATAGTTCTTAGTTAGTGTCTTGTTGAATTCCCTGATCCTAAGAATAGCCCCGAACTCCCGAACACATTGAGTCACTGTCAGGTTGTTCGAATCTTTCAAAGAGAAGGGACTATTTTACAATTCACCATTACTTTCACAAGTCCTTCTTATCAGTAGCTAGTTTAATTGTGTGCGCTGCCATAACTTCGAGGATATTGTGATTAATCTTGTCAGTATTTTAGCCAAAGTACAAAGAGATAGTTTAGGGAAAAATTTTCTTGATTGGGGTTATCTTTTCTGTGAGTATCCCTCTAGCTACATGTGCATGCTAATATCTTTAATTTTGTGTGGTGATTATTGTAAGCCCCGAAGTTAAGTTTGCTTGAGGACAAGCAATGGCTTTTTTTTTAAATTGATAAGTTCGTATTTCAACACGCATTTGATGCGTGTTGAGATTGAGATTTGTCACTTTTCCTAATTTATTTGTGTCACAAAGTGTTTATTTAGCTCAAGTCACGGTTTACGGGGTTTGGTTTGCATTCGTTGAAGAAAAGGTAGAATTCGGATCCGGCGTTGGCGTTTGAGCCATAGTTGAGAATATTCGGGATATGTTGGAGAACTAGCGAGATGCATCAAAGGTCCGCTGGATGATTTAGAGGCATGATTCGAGGCTTGGAAGGTTGAAGATTAAAGATAGAATCGATCGGGAGCAAACGGGGAAGAAAATAGCTAGAAAACAGTTCAAGAGCAATCCGCCACGCCCCGCGGGTTGGTACCCGCATAATTAAACTATTTCAACCAGAATTCCATAAATATCAGCAGAATCAATCGATTCAGCCAATTTAAGTGTTATCAAAGAGGTTATAGGTAGTTTTATTTGTGGCTAATGAAAACTTAAAAGTATTATACCAACCGTTTTCTTACAAAACTATCTTTATATTTATACACAACAAAATCTTGTTACTACTGTCAGGGGCGGAGCCATCTTTTGAGTGTGATGTCAATTGACACCATTGAATTTTTTTATCAGCATATATAAGTATATATTTTTTTTAAAAAAATTTAAATTGACATTACTGAAAAATAAAAATTCTATGTATATGTATAGATAATCTTTTATAAATTGACACCACTAACACTAAATTCTGGCTTCACCCCTAACTATTGTGTTAGGGAGTATTTGAAAGGTGACAATTGGGTATCATAACGCTAATTATTCACATAGCTACTTAGCTACTTTGTCATTTACATTTCCTGAAACTGTATCACCCGAGCTAGCGGTCTGCTAATTGCTGGACTGTGGACTGTCCATTTGCAGCACTATTGCTCTAATTTGGGCAGGTTTGAGTGAATACCGGCCGATGTTTTATGACTTTTATCAGATGGTCCCATTTCGCTTCAATTTAGCTCACTCATGACTTGGACAATTACTTCTATCAATTAGTAATGCTCTCAATATATTTGATTGATTTTTTCAAAACAAAACACACACAATAGATCTAAGTCATTTGGCACATTTTGCTGCCGTCGGAATTAATTGCTTGAATTTCCTTCCCATAAACCGACACATTTGGTGGAGTTAGAGGTTTGTAATTGGATTGAAATTTTTTGGTCTGATTTGTTCTAGTCTGATCTGATTTGTTCTAGTCTGCTTTGATTTGGTCTGATCTGATTTGATCTGATATTGTAAATATCTTGTCTCTTTTTATTTTATAACAATCTAAGTTTGAATTGGTCTGATATGATATACGAGAATTAAAAAGTCTAAGTAAAAACATACCATATAACCATTTTTTAGAGCAGCCGTGGCCGTCTCCCTAGTGATTAGGGTTGGAATGAGCAGTTTTTAAGTTTCGTTTCTTCCTCTGGCATATCGGATCTTGCCTCTTGCAGATTCCTTGTTCCATCCGATGCTTTCTTTGTATTTTTATTTTGCAGATCTTATTTTTGGTTTGAACGTGCGGGCTGTGAGAGGTTTTCGCGGGCGCTGCTTTTTGCCGAGAGTAATACCGGCACTTCGAAGGGACTTTGAGAAGGCGGAGATGGAGGAGATGGTCAACAAATGTGATAACATGATTCTCGAGGGTGATGAGGACGATCTGATTCTGGACAAGGAGGTCGCGGGCAAGGAAGAGGCTCTGAACAGGAGTCAACGGGTGAAAGAAGACGAAGAGATGTTGATCTGTCCTCCTCCCGAACCGCCGCCATGGAGGAGTTGTGCGACTAGGGTTTGGACGACTATATCTAGTTCTATTTTACTTTGTGTTTTTACTTCGACCTACATGTTGTTTTGTTTGTCATGTATGCTTATTTTTGCCAGACTCTTGCATTAGATTGGGGCGATGAGGGGTTTACTCTGGCCACGTTAGGCTCATTTTGACCCATTACACGATAAGCGAACAATATTGCTTTTTACAAGGTGATTGGTTCTAAGGTTGTTTCGAGGGTCAATGGTTGGAAATAATGGTTCCTTTATCTTCTGTTTCCCTTGCCGAATGTTGTTATATCTATTTAAGCCGCTTTCCTCCAAACAAAAAAGTAAAAACATATCATAGATGTTCTCTAGTGAATAGTGATGTAGTCCCGAGGGGAATTAGGGTGGCCCACATGAAAAAGTCATCCCCATAATGTTTTATGAATTTACTCTAAATATATAATTTATCAAAAAAGTGTGGTGAGTCGGGGCACGGGTTAGCTTCACTTGGGCCCAATGAAAAAGTCAAAAAACATCAAAGGAGGCGCTTCATTTGAAGCCTTTTTACGTAAAAGCACCTCTAACCATTAAACATTAACAAATTTTATTTTTTTAATAGTGTGCGACACTTGTAATATATATGCGCCTCCAATTGTTTAATTTGATTTAAAGATTAAAATTTTAGCAAAACGTAGTATATAGAGAAAAGTACAAAAAGATACATGTATTTCGATTCCGTTATCACAGCAGCTAGTAGGGGCGTGTCGCGCGCCTAACGCCGTGAGAAGTCGTTGGAGGAAGACGATGAACAGTAACTCTGATTTTTTAAAAAGTCCGAAAAGTTAATATCACTTTTCCGGTGGACATTATGGCGGGCTGGTTAGAAACAAAAAAGAAAAATGGTCTAGAAGTCTCCCTGACGAGGCGCACCTCCTAGTATTTTTGCGACTATTGAAACACATACTGGTAATTAATTTTGTTAGATTGAGAAGCAGAAGACTTGATGTATTTTTTAGTTTATCGTTTCGTATTTATATATCTCATTTTGTTGTAACTTGTAGATTTGTTAATTGAAAGTGACATATTTCATCACCCTAAATTATTCAAGTATGACAATTTGTTTTTTTTGTAACATAATATAAATCGTCATCGGAAAAAGCTTTTAATGGTGAAATATACATTCGTCATTAGTATAGACAACGAAATAAAAAATTCGATGACAAAAGTTATACACAAGAATGACATACTACGTCTTAAACATCAATGAAGGTGATCAATAATGTTAATTATTAGTAATATGTTAATTAAGATCTAAATTAAGTGTCACCATAATTATTAGAAATAATTACATAAATATGACCAAAATAAAGATGGTTTACAAAAATATGACTAGTTACTAGATTAGTAATGAAATCATAGTAATTCATGTTCATGTTTTGAACGTAAGTTACTACAACACTACGTTGTAGTAATATTCTTGTAAAAAAACCCTAATTATGAGTGACAAATATGTTCATGTATTTCTTTTCTATGGAGCTACAGTGATGATATATGTGATGTTAATATGTCTTCATATAATTTCTTTTATTATGAATATTTGATTATATATGACATTTTTTCATCATGTTTTGGCAAAACTCTTATAGAGATACTCTAAAAAAACTCTTATATAGATGATTTATTTTATCACGTCATTCACTTGAAATAAAATAATATATTTTATTGATCAAGTGCCATATCATTCTGTCATACAATTCTACTTCGGTGAGGTGTCATATCATTAGCATGGGTTTTTCGTGTGCTTTGGATTAGACCTGCAGAAAATCGGGTCGGGCCATCCGGCCCGCCCAGCCCGCCCGCACAAATACGCAGGCTTGGACATATATATTTACTCACCGGGCAAGGCCTGATCCGGCCCCCAATAACATATGGGCAGGCTTAGGTTAGGGTGTAGGGCCGCTCGGGCTGATAAGCCCAGCCTGCTACATTTAGTATATATACATATACATATACATACATACATACATACATATATATATATATATATTTATTGATATACTTATTTACATATACACATGTATTTTTATATTTACTAAATTATTTTTTTACATATTTATCATTTATTATGTTTAAATTTAAGTTTTTAGTTCTTAACGACTAGCCCAATCGATATAATATCTATTTTGTACTTAAGGATAATACTTTGTGCTTGAATTCTAAATTTTAGATATAGCTTCTCATTATTATTTTTGTGTAAGTACTTCGTATTTTATTTGTATGTGGTGAAAGGCCTATAAACATTATTAGCGTATTAACAATTTCTAAATGTTATTAAAAAACAATTTTTTAAATGTTGTAATATTATTTATAAAGTATTAAAAAAATTATACAATTTTGAAAAATTTCAAGTTTTTCCGGGCCAGGCTGCCCGATAGACTACCCGGACCACTCTTACGGGCGGGTATGGACATGGGGTTAGGTCCGTTTTTGTGGGTCGGGCCCGCCCACACATAATGGGCGGAAAATTTATAAAAAGTCCGACCAGAGCCCGGCCCAACCCGTTTTTGTGCAGCTCGATCTACTTTGGATCAAACTAGGATTCAATGTTTCTTAGTTGCTTTTACCACGAGCTGCATGAAAAGGTGAAGAGTCAAAATTTTGTGCATTCCATAAGTAATTTTAACCTTATTTTGATTATTATAAAATAATTTAGTGCGTGAAATTAAAAGTTATATGTTTAATAAATAAGTTGATAATTAATAAGCATACGGATTACATGAATGCAATTTCATTTTAGATGAAGTGGAGTTGTTTCATATGTCTAAATGACATTTTGCATACACTGATGCCCTTTTTACTGAACAATGCACGTAAATTTTGGATGTAATTGCTAGAATACCACCATATATTTCACAAAAGTTTTTCTACGTTATAGAAGTACTTTCTAGTTGATTGTGTCAAAAAACATTTATTTGATCTTAATATGTACTAGTACAAAAAATAGGACTATGCACTACTAGAAATTTATGTTTCATTTGGGTCATAAAATTTGTATTTTTATACTCCCTCTGTCTCGAAAACAACTTCCTGGTTGGACTTTCACACACTTTTAGGAAATAAATTTGACTTTACTGTAGAATGCACTGTTTGGCACTGTTTAAACACTGTTTGACACTGTTTAAACACTGTTTGGCATTGTTTAAACACTGTTTGGCACTGTTTATCACTTTTTTTATGTAGATAATTTGCCAAATAAGGAAAGTATTGAAGTGTGAAGTTAATTTTGGGACATCCATTTAAGGAAAGTGGGAAGTTGTTTTCGGGACGGAGGGAGTAGTAATGTCAACAATTATGTTACATCGGAGTCAAAAAAATCGATACGTAGTACTACATTTAATTTGTGTCATATTTACTAACATTGTGCTAGTGATGACAATGGTGACACAATTTCAGGCTATTTGTGACATATTGTGTGTGTCACATTATCTTTTTATAGCAGTGATGCAAGACAAGTGGAAATGATCCAAGTGGATCACGTCCCAAGTAATCAAAGAGGTGAATTTGGGAAGTTTTTCTCAAATGATGATCATTTAGCTCCGAGGCTAGCTCGTTCACGCAATCCGTGATTCATCTCGTCTCAAGCTATACTAAGAACTCGAGGACATGCACAATCAGAGCCCGTTTGGAAAGTGGTAGACTAGAGTAGTAGCTACCAGCCAGTGGTCTAGTTCCCTAGTTTGGCTACTCGTACTAGTTAAGAATATGTACTAGGTTTGACAGTTTGAATAAAAAGTTGAAAATTTCACTAATTTGTATATACCTGCAATTTATAATCAATATTGTGACAGTTGAAAAGGGGTTGATAATTCATCATTTCTGGAGTGCTGAAAACTTTGCCAGCAACTTATTGAGTAGAAAAATGGGCATTCACGGTGAGCTAGCTAAATAAACACAATAGCTCCAAACCTCCAACTCGAATCTATATACTCGTTTTTTAATTTGAAACCTTTTTAACATTAAATGGTGAATGAAGTTCTTAACGTGTACAGTGAAATTTACACCGTTTGATCATGGAATCATTGATATGATGGAAAAAATTATATGGGAACAAATAAATATATATGTGTTGAAAATATTAATTATGATCATTTTAGAAAAAAATATATGGGAACAAATAAATATATATATGTGTTGAAAATATTAATTATGATCATTTTAAAATGTTGGATAGTTTAAGTGGATATATAACAATGAGAGCACATTATAACTTTAGATCAAGTCCAGCAGTCAAGGAAAAAAATTCTCTCTCTAGGATTACCTTCGGGTAACACTTAGCCTTTTTTCGTCCGCCATCGACTTAGTCGAGGGGCGGGGCTGGGGTTTCTCCGGCCGTTTTGTGGATTAATCTCGTTTGTTCGTATTTAGTAATTCGGATTTGGGAAGGGATTCGATCACAAAGAGGGTCTGTTTCGAAAGATTTGGTGCTGAGACGGGCGGCGGCTGATTCGAGGCGGCTGGAAAATTTTGTGGACAAGTACAAGAAGATAGCGATTGAGGCAGAGGAAGAATAACTGGATCTAGATGAAGCTGATGTAGAGGTTGTGGCGGATAAGCGGCGGGCGCGTCCCCCGCCCTCCTAAGCCGCCGTCGTGGAGTGCAAGCAAATCTAGGGTTTGGAAGGAGATGATTGAACTCTATTTTAATTCCGTTTTATCCAGTTTGTGTTTTTCTGTCGAATTGCATGTTGTTCTGGACGTGTTCTTTTTTTCCGAGCAGAGAAATTCTTGAATTTAGGTTAGGTGATGAGAAGTCTGGTTTGTCGGTCATTGGCTCAGTTAAGCTCATTACAGGATCAACGAATGTTAATGCTTTTACAGAGGTGATAGATTCTCAGTCTAGTTCGAGGGCGGACGGCAGACATAAGGCATTTTATCGTTTTGTTTACTTCTTTTTCCTTGATTGTATTATCAGTCATGTGACGAACGTTATTTTGATTTAATATATTAGTTGGATTTGATGATAATAAAAAAAAAACAATGAGAGCGCATTGAAGTTTAATTCTGTGTTTTGCTTCCACATACACCAAGTCACGCACAACATCTGAAGCGAGGTAACACTAAAATCCGCTGAATGGGTTGATTCTGCTGAAATTTATGAAGTTCTGGCCGAAGTGACTGTATTAGCTGATTCTGCTGATTTATGAAAAAAAGAATTAAAATATA